AGATGAAGCTTGGCTTCGGAAGGTCAGGCATGGTCTGAAAGGGTGCACATCTCCAGTTATTTAGCATTTACCTCATTGCTGGATGTGTGCCTCCAAGGAAGGAGGGCTGGTTTCTTGGCCTCGTTTGCAGTTGCAGTCACGCTTGACTCAATGCCACAAGCGCAGGGTCTAGTCTTGAGGGAAGCTTCTGCATTTTCTATCGCCCCTCAAAGTTGCCAGGGGGTCGCAGGTGTCCTCTAGCTCTTGCCACCTGGCCGACTGACAGCCCTTCATCGTGTTCAGAAGAGGATGTTCTCATCCTCCTCTGCACATTGTTCTCATGCCGACAGCACTCGGGAATAATGTGCTCAAACGAGCCAGAGGCAGCCAGACCAGCCAAGTTTCTGACGATGATGAAAGGTCTTCTCGTGCCTCGTGTCCTGCCAGAGGCTTGAGCAGCACAAAGCAAGAACTGTGCGCTCACGCCGTCCTTGCGCGGGCTTCGAGGAGCCCCTGAACACAGTGTTTGCACAGCCGAGCGGTTTCTTCAGCAACGCACAAATGGGCCCCAATGTGTGAGCAGCTCCACGGCTTGCTGCTGCCACGGGAGCCTGCGCTGCCCCGTTCCCTTTGGGAACCCACGGTCGAGTCCCAGCGCTCGGGAGCCTGACCTCTGCCTCCACCCCGCAGCAAGCACATCACGAGCGCGCATCCCATTTTCCCTCCCTCTGTACTGAAACTTTGTGGGATAATAGTTACAGGATCAAGACACCAGCTTTTCAATTCATGCCCGGCAGTGGCTTGTCCTTAGGGCTTTGCCCCAGCAGACAAACTGGCTCCGTTCCTGCTCGGCCCCAGAGAGGTGGATGCAGAGACAGGGCAGTTGGTGGTGGGTGCTGCACTGGGTCCGGGTGTCGCGCAGCTGCAACGCGTCCAAGCTAGAGCAGGCGGCTCCGGGACGAGAGCCGCGACGGGCGCGTGGTGCTGCCCTGGGCTGTGTGTGCCTGCCGCTCGGGCACTGCTTTACAGGTGACCTAGACTGCCCGACAAGCCAGAACTGCCAAGACGGGAGTCACGATTCCTGCTTTGTGGCTCATGGCACTTTCAGCTGTGGTCCATGGGAAGTAAGGACCAGAAGTTGTGGGGTTTTTTTGGGATGGAGATGGGTGTCTTGATCTTTGAGACGCAGGTACCATCTGGAGGACCAGCTAGATGAAGCAAGGCTGTCTATGCAGTAAAACACTATGTGCACTTGATGTTTTTAGAGTGATCCATCCTTTCTCTGCAAAGATTGTGGCAACCCACAAATCAAAAAGGATACAATATCAGTGCTGTATTTTTAGGATGAAGCTCAGTGTAGGAGATGAGACTTTTCTGGGACTGGTGCAAAACCACTGAGGGAAGAGCATGTGTGAGAGGATGCATGTTCCGCCACAGCCCTCCCACCTCCTTGTCTGCACACCACACATGTTTCCAACACTGTTTTTTTTTCCAAATAAATACTTAAAAGTGTCTGGCTGTGGGTAGAAAGTACCCTGAAAAAACTGAAATACCTTTCTGTGCATATGCCTCTCTTGTCTAGAGAAAGGAGGATGGAGTCAGGGTCTGCCAGAGACATCAACATCATGAGTGACAGAGCTCAGATAGTGTGGGGACCAGAGCAGTGTACAAGCCTGTGCAGCAAGAAGTAGGGAAGAGCTGGGATGCAGTTTCATCAGCATTTCCTCCAGCAACATCTTTAAATACGTAGCTCTCAAATGTTCAGCCTTGCCTCTGTGCTGTCCCTCCTTGTGTTGCTCGTACAGCTGTTTGGGCAGCTGCGCCATGAGCTTAATCAGGGAACTATTACATAGTCAAAAATAGCCCTTTTTTTTTCTTTTTTTTTCCCCTCCTCTGTTGTTTTGAACTGTAAGAACAGCTAGTTGTGGTAAAAACACAACCCTAGATTTGGGCAGACCTCTGGTGGTTCTGTTTTGTGTTGTCTTTGCTCAGCTCTTATCCATGGCTTGAGCATCAGACTCTGTTGTCTGAGTGCCCTTCCACAAGTGGGATCACGCCGATGTGAGTGGAGGCTGGTGGTAGTTTCACAAACATCCTGGGGATTTAAATAGTAGGAACTACAGTGGTAACATTTCTATGGACAAGATTTTTCCCCACTCCCCTCCAATCCCAGAAAATTTCATGTGTCTGAACACCAGGCACCCCGTGTGACACACAGGGGTAAATAGCATCATTCCTGAAACTCAGCTCTGTGTTTCTCAGTTCTGTGGCTGACGGATGTGGGGCTTTTTGTTGTTTCTTTGTTTATTTTTGTTTTCTTTATTTATATGCAGATGCCATTGAAAGTATTTCAATGCTATTTAGAGTTTTGCGTTCTCTTTCCTTTTTTAAAGGAAGCTTCAGTAAAAAAAGCAACAACAAAACCCTAATTGCACCGTCCAGAATTGCGCACACTTACAGTGAGTCACTAGGGGCTGGTTTTGCTGGGATCTCTGTCCTCATCGCTGCCCTGCTGCTCCTTCCTCTCCTTGCTTTATGCCTGAAGTGAGGGCTGGTAGCCCGAGTCACCGAACACATTAGCCCTGTCTTCCTTTTGTCACTCCTCCAATGCAACCAGGCAGAACCAAGAATTCTGTTGAATATAATAAAACGTTTACCTGACCACTTAACATGTGCAGTTAGAAGCTCCTCTAGGTATTCAGTGAAGGTGCTGGGATGCACAGGAACATCTTGAGCGTGCAGCTGTGTTCTCGTTTCCTTGTGGTGTTTCCCTTGCTTTGCCGTGATGGAAATGTTACGTCTTCTCAGATGCTGAATATTTTCATGAATTCCCCTCATGCTTTCCGTACATTCTGGGGACTGGGGGTTTATTTTCGCTTTCTTTCTGTGGCTTCACTAAAGAGAAACCCTGGTCTTTCCCAAGGGTTGCTGCCTCAGGGCAAAACAAGCGATTGGGGAAACACTTGCAGCTTTTAAAGCACTTCACAACTCTCTGCTTTCTGCCATACATTTCAAGCAGGACATACTCCCCTCTTGGGTGCCTTTAAGCAGTTCGGTTTGTCACAGTCAGGAAAAACAAGTGCAGAATTCTCTAGTCTCGATATTTCAGTGCCATTGCTTTAAATTCCCATGGAACAAGGCGGGAATGTGGTGCGTGACAGAGGTGCCGAGCAGGACCCTATATTGCAGTTTCGGGGCATGGGTCACGGTTTATTCTCAGGTCAGTGAGAAGCTGACGTGTCTATGCTAGTGGAAGGCTGAATGGTGCTGTGTGTGTCCCTGCTACATTGCTGATACGGCTCCTGTGTTTTATTGCCCCAGTGCCTCTCATAACTAGTTAAAAATAAACTCTTGGGTTTTCCTGCAGTGTGGAGAGAGCATTCCTTGGACATTTCGAGTGTGAAAGTGGCAGGCACTTGTAAAAATATGCCTTTTTCAGGCTTGTGCCAAAAGGAGCTCATCCCTTTCCTGTTTAGTTTGTCTCCAGCTCATTTTTGGTGTGTCTTTTTGAGAAGCTGTGCTTATCCCTGCCCGTAATGCAAAGGGCTGATGCCTTATTCATGGAGTGAAGCTCTTTGCTTTGGCTTCTTTGGCTTTAGTTCTTGTAGGGATTGAGAACAGCTACACAGAAAACAATTTTTCACCAAGAATGGAATTTGCAAGGTGGGAAAACCATGTTTCCACTGACAGTTTCCATGGGCAAAAAAAGAAAATCGAGCTTACCAAATTTTAGGCATTTTTTTCCTGTGCTTTTTCTTTTTTTTTTTTTTTTCTTTTTTTCTTTTTTTTTTTCCCTCTTCCTTTGAACCTGGCTCCTTGACCAAGAATCAGCTTTTTCATTGAAAATATTTTGGTAGTCCTTGGACTCCCTTAAAAATTATTGAGGAGATGGGATTATGTAAAAATACAACTTTTATTTCAAGGAAACTGCATTGTGGTTGTGTTGGGTAGGAGACGTGTGAAATCTCCTTTGGAGATGTCTGCACTCCAAATGCTTCACTGTGGCACTGCTACAATGTCATCTTTGCAGAAATCCTTTCTTGGACTTGGTTCTGCAGACCATGCTGATAAAAGCTTTGTACAACTGTCTTCATGAACAAAATAAGCTCTTTTTAGCAAAAGTTCCCTGGTTGCAGCTGCACACAGGGAGGGAAGGCTGCATCTCCCTCAGCTATCGGGACACTGTGAGAGCAAGCGAGGCCTTTCTGCACGCCCAGGAGTCTGTAAAAAGGAACAGCAATGCCGCAATGTTTTGTGTGTGTATTCATTTGGCTGGAGAAGAGAGAAGCTATTTTTAGTTCTCAGGATAAGTTTGGAGATCTGACAGCTCGCGTCTCAGAATTAAAAGGTAGATGTATCAGCTCCTTGCGTTGGACTGGACACGTGCGCACAGCCGGTCTTGGTGCTGGAGAGGGCACCCCTTCCTCTCGCAGCTCCGGGTCAGCTCTGGGCCTATTTTTTCACAAAGGAGGTTTCCTTTGCTTCTCGGGGTCTTGAGAGCTCTTAGCTGTTGAGCTTAGCGTGTTTTCTTTTCTCTCCCCTTGTTTCTGTGATTTGTTTATTCTGGAGTTGCCTTGCAACTCTTTCGTTGGGGAAGAAGAGTCCTGGGAACAATGGCAAAACCCTGGAAAAACTGATGGGGGGTTTTGTTTCTGTTTTAGAACATGGAAATGCGATGCTACCAGCCAAAGTAATTTCTTGAAATGTGGATTGTGTCAAACAGACCCAAATTCAGGTTGCAAGTTTTACCTATTGCAATTACTGTAAATTATGTTTAAGCCATTGAAATTGTGTAACTTATCTTTCTCTATTAGCAACTTCTGTGCACACTGCCAGGATACATTAGATGGGTTAAAACGTGTTTCGGGAGTGATGCCTCAGCAATCATTCCTGGTCCCGGTGCTATTTGATACTTTCCTCCTTCAGCGTACACAGAAAGTTGCTGCTGAAAGCAGTTTGTAATGACCCAAAAACTGCTCTCACCAGCTCTCTGTTCTGCCTGTTGTCTCGAGTCACTTCAAATGAAACGTGCTCCAACAGACACAAACGGGACAAGGCTGGAGCTTGGCACGAGGAACACGGGCAAACTGGAGATCTGTGTCGTGGGGAGCGGTGGCCCCGACAAGGCCGTGGGGAACGCGCAGCCCCGCAGTGAGAGCTCCCGGTGCCACGTGGAGCAGAGGGACGTGGTCCCTGGCCCTGGCTCCTGGCAGGCCCGCGGAGGAGCGTCAGCGCTCAAGTGAGCAACGGCGGCTTCTTGGCTGGCCTCCAGCATTTGCACTTTAAAGAGCCGATGAAGCTTTGCAGGAGGCAGAGGGAACAACTGTAAAATTCCTGAGCCCGTAGTAGTGTCTTGCAGCAAGAGACGTGGAGCTTAGTCTGCTCAGCTCCTTGGTCACGTACTGATGGTGAACACGTGCTTTGGTGCAGAGAAAGCGCTATTGTCAGGCTCTCTAACCTGGCAAAGAAAGTCACAGTGAGAGCTAGTGGCTGGAAGGAGAAGCCAGGCTAATTTGATTGATGATTTTGGCAGAAATGTTTCAGATGGGTTTTAGCTGGACACACTAATGATGGGCTTTGGTGGAAAAGCTGGCTGAGTGAATACAGGGTGTTTGTATAGAAGGTCTGATATAGCTGCCCTGTGGGACCTGCTGGCCTTAAGCTGGCAAACCTGAGGTAGAAGGAAGAGTGGAGAAGGTTTGTTAAACAGAGCCAAAAAAGTAAGTGCAGGCACATATAGCCACAAGTGCAGGAGGGGCAAAAGACACGAGTCCAGGTGTCAGCAGATGAAAAGCGAGCATCAGGGGTATTTGATTGTTCCCTATGCCCCAATATCTCTTTAGGTGCTTTCTTTTATTTCTGATCTTAATTCTCTCGTCTTTGTTTTTGTACACAGTGTGTCGAGATTTTGCTGTTCTGGAAGATCATACCTTGGCCCATAACCTACAAGAGCAAGAGAGTAAGTAGCAGTGTTTTTTGGAGCACGCTTGCCCTGGAAGATATTTATTTTTGTTTGTTTTTGCTAAGAAAAATCTTCCCTGCTTTTATTTCATTTCATTCTTTTTATTGACACCCTGATTATTCTTCCCATATTCACTGTCAAGTAACACTGTTTCATATGTTCTACCCCAGCTCACATTGTGCCCTAGGGACAGTTGCATTTCAGTGATTCAATTTTGTGACATCCATTAGAGTTATGTTTACTTATGCTGTTGATAGTAAAATTACTCGTGGGAGTGCAGGTGAGATTTCAGCGCTGTGCAAAGTCTTTAGAAATGACTGGCACAGTTAAGACTTTCCAAAGCAACTGGAGATTTTTTTATATGCTTATCTTTTAGCTGGGTTATTTGCACTGCAATTTGAGGTGTGGTGGTGTCTATAACCTGCTTAACTAGGTGCCAAGACCAGTGGTACCTCCTGGCACCAGGGTCTAATGCTGTTCTAGCTACTCCGCTGAGCTGCAGCTTGTGCTGAAGTTGTGTCCTTGCTGCTAGAACCTGAGACCACAGAAATAAAGCTGGGTCTTGGCTGCAGCTCTTGTAGCTATGTTTCCTTGCAGGCAATATCCTTGTATGGTAAAGGACTTGCTTTAGTATTGAGTTGCTCTGTTGCTAAATATAAAGGTGGTGAGATTCTGGAACTGATTATGTGGGGGAAGGAGCTCCATCCCTGGAGGTTCTTGAGAGCAAATTAGGGAAGGTTTCATAGCAGTAGTTCAGATTCAGTTCATTCCAAGTGGCCTCTGGGGGTGCTTTCCTCCCCTGCTTTTTTTAACCTAAGATAATTTTCTGTGGCCTGAAAATTAAATATAAGGTCCAAGAAACATTCACGATAAATCTAGATGTGATTAAGATGTGCAGATCTTATTTTGGTAATAAATGCTAATGTGCACCCCCGTCAGTGTGGAAGCAATCTCGAGCTGCTAGTGCAGTGTCAGTTCAGAATTCCCCCAGCTCTAGAGATGTTATGTGGTGTTTTTCTGTTGAAAACGGTGTCTTCCTTTCCAGCCTGGGATCTCCCTCCCACTTGCTTTGTCTTCTTCACACCATTAACTTCTGTAGGTTGATTTGGGGTATTCCTGTCTGTTTCTTTCCAGTTGAGCATCACTTGGCGACAAACATTCAGCGTAATCGTCTAGTGCAACATGACTTGCAGGTGGCCAAGCAACTGCAAGAGGAGGAGGATCTGAAAGCACGTGCTCAAATCCAGAAACGCCAAAAAGACCTGTGAGTGAGAATCGCTCTTCCTGTTCGGTCAGAGCGCTGCAATAAGCTGCTCAGTTTTGTTTTGCTTTTGTTTTGTTTTCCCTTTGGGTATCATTTGCTATAGAAGTATTGGTGTTAGCTTCTCCAGCATGGAGTAACGAGGACAGGGTGGAGCTGGTGGCCCTGACACCCAGCCTGACAGCCAGCCCTGGCTTGGATTCTGTTGCCTGACCGTGGAAAGGGAGTTTTCATGTTCTGCTGCATTTCCCCAAAGTGGGGTAACTGTTGGCCACCTGTATTGGGCTTGGCCTGGCTAAGATCTGAGAAGGGCTTAGAAGGAACTGTGCTTTACTGAAATGCACAATGTCATAGTGAATTATCTCTTAATAGTGGCCTATTTCCATTGCACCTGATGATGTGCTTTTGAGGAACTCGGCACAGTGCAGTTTGGTGGCCCACAGCACTAACCAGCTGAAAGTCGCTGCTTGTGCTTGCAAATACTCCAGGGTGAAGCAAGCTGGGAAGGGGAGCTCCTGCCTCTGTTCTCATGGTGGAGGTGGTGAGACTAGTGCTGGGGACAGACAACCTCCTGCAGGCACCCACTTCAGCAGAACTGTGGGAAGATCCTTAATAAATGCTCTGGTTTGCCCAGCTGCTGGTTTGTTCAAGGTCTCAAGGCAGATCTAACTCCATAGTTCATTTTTTGGCTTTCTGCATACCGTGACCCTCAAAGTGAAACATAGGATGGGAAACCCAAACTGGGCTGCTTCTTGAAGAGCTGATTTTGCTGCTTTTCTTGTTTTTGTGTCTCCCTCAGTCTCTTGCATTTCATGCAATGTCACCAGTGGGATTAGATGACAGGGCTCTATCACGTCACAAGGACAGATAGTAGCTTGTCCTCTAATGGGGTTCTGGTGGATGTAGGACCTGCAAGGCAGGCCATACCTCCTGCTGCACTGTATCCTGGCTGGTCTCTTGCTCCCAGATGCCACCCACAGGTCCTGCTGAGGGACCCAGGGTGGTTCATCTGACACATGCAAGAATGTAGTGCAAGAGCTCTGGAGTGCAGATGTGTGAGCTACAGGGCTGGCTTCAAAGGGACTGTTGGGAAAGGATTTGGAGCTTGGGATGTTACAAATCAGCCACTGTGTTCCCTGTCACCAGCACAGCCAGGCAGCGCTGAGAAGACATATGGATCTTTAAAGTTTGTGCTATATTTCACTGGCTCTGTCTTAGCGAGCATTTAGCTGTGCGAAATAAACAGCAACAAATAATATAAACAGCAACAAAATGTATTTGTATCACAGAGAAAATCCCTTTTTGATAGAAACAATTTTTCCTCTTGTAGAATTTTCTGAAAGGGATTTGCTAACTTTGTGATCCAGGTTACAGGCAGAACTGCTGATGCAAAATGTTGTGTCAGCAGCAGTTCCACTCCTCAAAGCATGAGCTGCTATGCAAGATCAATAAAAAGTTGGAGACATCCTCTTGGAACTGGATCTTTTTCTTCCTTAGTTCTCTGTATGTTCCTGCTGTCTCTTCACTGTGAAAGATCAGTGTGTTCTGGCAACAGAATGATCCTCGCTGCAGTTGCTTTCAGTTTTGTCTAGAATAACTTGATATGGGAAGGCGATGGAGGAATAAAGAGGCAGAGCAGGGTAGTCACTTTAGAAATGGGGAGCATGAATGAGCTCTCCAAACTCCGGGTTACGTGTGGGGAGTTGCATGTAGCTGTGGTGGTGAGGTTTTGTTTGTTTGTTTTTTATTGTGTAAATCCTAGATTCCCTAAGAAAGAATTTATGAAGACAAATGAGAAAATGGATTTTTCTTTTCTCTCTGATAATTCTTGGAAGCACCACACTTTATTTTCATGCTCCAGTAAAAGCCTCTCTCGCATCTGAGCAGCTTGCACACTGCCAAGCATAGTAGCATCAAGGATGCTGAAATGAATATCCGAAATAGCATGAGAGAATGATGCTCCTTCCTCTCCTTCCTTACTTTGCTCCTGGTGCTGCGACGGCTCTGTTGCACTAGTGTGAGCAGTTCCTCTGAACAATCCACTGAAACATGCTTTTTCTTTCTTTTTTCTTTTTTCCCTTTTTTTTTTTTTTCCTCCTCTCCGCATCTGGCAATAATTATTTGCCAGAGTCAACATGAATGGGAACTTTCCAATTATGCTACTTTTTTTTTTTTTTTTTCCCCCCTCTTCACTACTAAACTGATGTAGAGTTTCCCTGACACTCCAGTACTCCTGGCTGCCCTGGAGTAAAGGACACGTAGGTGTGATGTTTAGGGATGGTGACATTTATATTGCTCTGGCTGATTTCTTTGACCTGATAGGAACCTGAGTTCACATTAAAGAAACTAAAGGACAAGAAGAGCTGTAAAAGCTCTTTGGAGGTTTTGCTTCTGCTCAGTCAAGTTGAAAGACTAGCCTATGTTGAATGACTAATCAAGTCTCAGTATTTAATTACATGCTGAGCAGCAGCCCCCCTCCCCCCAATATATAATCTTGTGCTCTTCAGTGGTTTTGAAAGAGCTTCATACAGTGTATTCCAGCTGCATGCCATCAGGAACAAGAAAATGCTTCTGCTTTTGAATTGCTTCTGCCGTTTTCTGCTGTTCATGAAGAAGCAATGACCTTCTTGCCGTGGCTGTAAAATATGAGTAGCTGTTTCGGTGTCTTGTTTGTCTGCAGTGAGATGTATTTTAAACACTTTGCAAGTCAGTTGGTGCTGGTGAACTTGGCACCTTAGCTCTGCTCACAGGTGCCAGGAGGAAATAGAGACTTGCAGCACTTTGATGCATCTGATCCTTCTAAGTTATTTTCTAGTTGGATTTATGTCTTCTGAGACTGGGGTCATAAGGAGTCCCATATTTGAGGCATGCTGACAGTTCATTCCCCAGGACTTGTGTATTCAGCTACTGAGTTTTCCTGGGGACTGTGATTCCTGGCTTGGACCGAGTTTGCCAAGATCTTTTTTTGTATGGAAGATCTGCTGCTGTAAGAGTCTCTGTGCCTTTGGGCATGGAGCTGGTCTCTGCCTGGCAAATTTTTGTGTTTTTCCTGACTGTAGCTTTTGTTAACTGGGTGGGAGGAGCCGATATCTGAAGTTATTTGATCTGTTGATAACTCCAGCCTTACAAATACTGAAATTCATGAGAGAAGGGGATATAAACAGCATGCAGTACTCGATTGCAGGATTCCAAGAAACAGTTAATGGAAATAAAGAACCTTCCTTTCCAACCTGTTATGTTTTCTTTTCCACTGGCAGATTAGATGTTCTCTGGTAGCAATTCTCGTCTAAAACCTCTTTTTGATGCAATGGCCTCCTCCCTTGCCCAACCCTGTATCTATTAATTCCTTCAGCTTCTTTTTTTCTCCTTGACTTCCTACAAAACAAAAGGCCCCTGCTCCACTGCTGTCTCTTCCAGCAGTGCCAGTTCTCTCTGTTTCAGTACAAAAAGTCTGCTTTTGCTGTCTTCATTTTCTTTATTTCTGTCCTGCTTCCAGTATTTCTGGTTCTTTGCCTTCAGATTTGCCAGGTCATTTGTGCCCTGCTCAGCTCAAGCTGAGAACTGGTGCCCCAGCCAGCCGGTAACCCCTGCGCATCCTTCAGGCCTGTTTGCTGGGCTGCTCCCCTCGGAGCACACAGCTGAGCTTTGCACAGTTCTTGCAGATGCTTTTTACATCATGTTTCTGAAATATAGCCCTGCCTGTCTACCCACGCTGCCAAAACTTTCATTTCATGTCTTAATTGCTCTGGTATTTCTTTTGCTGTCCCCAAGTAATGCAATTGTGCATTGCTCCTGCATCCATAAGGGCACCACAGTGATTGATTTCTCACTTCTTGTTTCAACTTGTGTCTCTCCTGCCTCTTTGCACTGCTTCTGCTTTCTCTATCTGGCCCCAGCTCAGCAGGATCTCTCATTCATTACTAAACTGCCACCTCCAGCCTCCGCTTGGCCTATTTAATGTATTTTCCCATAAGCATTTCTCACTTTCTCCTTCCTGGCTTTCTTGGGAAAACCACTGCCCAGAAACAATTATTTTAACCTTCTCCCAAACTTCTGTTGACTCTCTGCATGCAAAAACTCTTCAGCAGAAGTAGGCCGTTGTTTGCAGACTTCTGCCCGTTCTCTTGGCCTGCCATATGTTATTGCTACCATCTCTTCTTCTAGTAAGCTGTCTATTAATCTGCTTGCTCTTGCTTTATTCTTCACTTATGAATGTTTTGGGACACATCTTTTCTATATTTGTCTAGCAGTAAGCAGAGGGAGTCCTGCTTGCTGGTGAGGGTTTCTTACACTCTGCAGTAATACTGAGTAATAACTATTGTGCATAAATCAGATGGATTCTGTCATATCTTTTTCTATATTTGTCTAGCAGTAAGCACAGGGAGTCCTGCTTGCTGGTGAGGGTTCATAGACTCTGCAGTAATGCTGAGTAATAACTGTTGTGCATAAATCAGATGGATTCTGTCACTCTTTATCCCTGTCTCCAGGCTAGCTGATGTCTGACTTCAGCTGTGTATAATCCTTGTCTCTTTGCCTCCTAGGGAACGACAGGACTGCGAGATAGCTCAGGAGATCCAGGTGAAGCTGGTATTTGAAGCAGAGCAGCGACGCAGACAAGAAGAAAAAGACGAGGTAACCTTTAAAGCTGCACAGTTGGCAGGGCTATTTGCATTGACCGTGTCAGTGCAGGCATCTCCTAGTCATCAGCCCGAGGAGGTGGTTTACGTGGTGCCAAGCCTGGTCGTCGCTGCTCACACAGTAACGATGCAGGGAGCGATGCTGCACTGTGGAGGTTTTGGATGCCAGGCGCCCAGCAATGTGAAGGGCTTGTTGAGATGCTCAGAGGTCTGCAGTAGGGACGTAGTTGCTTCTGTAGCCCGAGAATTTTCTCCTCATATGTAAGGAGACATGTATTGCTTTGGGGACAGTTCTGGGCTGTGATTGCTGTGGTTCTTAGTGGCTTCAGACTTGAGCAGGACCCTCAGCTAGTCATCAATTCCCAGCTTCTCCTTTATCTTCTTTCAACTTCAATTTAGTTTTTCAGCCTATGAACTCTGAAAGTCTCTTTTCAGGTGCAAGTGCAGTTTCTTGCTAGCACAGATGTCCTCCTGCAATTGTAGAATGGTTTTACTGCTGCTGCCTTGGGGTGGTCAGTGGCCCTGGTCTGTTGATGACCTTCAAAAGATTTGGCTTGTTGATTGCTTTATTGTGCCAGGCTTAGATTTTGTATTCAAGAAAGAGACAGAACTTAAGTTTATATGTTTATACATTTACTCTACTCGTTAGAAGAGGTTAACTTAGCCAGGTAAGGGATTTTTTCATTGTTGTTGTTTTAGAGCCTGTGCTGTCCCCAGGCCCTTTACAAAGCTGGTTACCGTTTAAGTCTGATCCGAATCCTGGAATAAGTTTGTATTTCAACACCTATCCAAAGTCCATTAATACTGGCAGACACCCAATGTTTTGGAGGGTGTTGGCTCTGACTTTGCATTTCAGTAATGCTTTTCATACCTGCAGATTCACTTTCCATGCACAGCCACTCGAGAAGCTGTTTGCTACTCTGTTTGCCAAGGCAAACCTGGGCACAGAGAGATGAGTGGCTTCCTTGCCCACTACAGCAACTTTCCTCTCTGCTTTGAGGATGTATAAAGATGTTTGTTTCCTAAGTGAGCTTAGCCTCCATTACAAGCTCACCTTAATGAGCTTAATTAATGACTTAAATGAAGGAACAATGATTGAGTTGGAGGGAGTCTCCAGGCTAAGGGAGTGCAGGAAAGCTTGGTCTTTGAAGCTGGATTGGTACTTTGACAGGGTGACTTGGGAGATCTTGTCTCCCCTTCCTTGGTCTCCTATTTCTGAACCTGGCTTCCCTGTTTCTGTTGCCTCATCTGGCTCTGCTCTTGGTTGGGAGGTCTTCCACCCTGGTCTGTAGGTCTAATGAAACATACTTCCATTGCACCATAGCTGGGCCAAAGTGGCTGCTTTTGGAGCTGTTACAAATATTTTCAGTAAGGTTTGACTCCCTGCAAAACTCCTGGAGGGGAAGGACAGCTTTCCAGCTATGTCCACTGGTGGCATTAGGAATCAAATGGCTAAAACTCATCTCTGCTGTTGTTTTTGCTAGGTGATCAACTATGCTTTAGCTCACAGCAACTGAACTTGTGTCTTCCCCATCTGTCAGCCTTGGCCAGCTCAAGTTTAAGGAGGCTTAAATGAATAATATCCTAAGATGTTATCTTCTAGCTTTTCTTCCTAGCTCCAAAACTTTTCTTCTGACTCATGAGCTTTTGGGTCCCCAAATAAACAGCTCCTTGGGGCTTGTTTCCTATTGCTAGGCCTTGTTGAGTCATTAGTCATCTCAAAGGAAAACCAGTTAGGAAAATGGAGTGCTTTTCTCTTTGACAGTATTTCTGCCAAAGCTACTACAGAAGATAAATAGCCTACAGCCCCTGCAGCACCCCTGCATTGTGCTTTCTTCCTAAGATCCCATTCAATTTTCTTTCACTCCAGTCTTCATCTGTCAAATTGATGCATTTCCCTATTGGCACCTTACAGCTTCTGTAAATTACAGCCCCTCTGAAGCAAGTTCATGACTTGTGGGAACTCCTTTTAGTAAGAAAAGTCCTCAGCTTGAAGATTATTTTGTTGTTTGTTTGTTTAGTACCTCACTTGTGTAAGTTCCAAAGCCTTGCTGAAAGACCAGGTTTGTACATGCAGTTCCTTCAGCCCTCTTTTACCATTGAGGTTTTCTGGAGTCTTGTGTAGGTGGAATAGGAACCTGATGGAGACTGTTTTGGCATAGGAACCTGCAAGTCTCTTACGTGATTCACAGTTTGGTGATCAGCATTGGTGAGAGCAGGTTCTGGTTGCTGATGCTCCTTGCATCGGTGCCTAAGCTGGACTCACCCTCCACAGAGGGGTTGCATTCAGATGTGACAAAGTGGCCTGGTAGCAGCGTTTTGCACAGATACAAAACAATGAAAGCTACAGGCCTCCTGCACGTGGGGTGTGGGGTACAGCTGGCAATGAGCAAAACGTCTTGCCAGAACTTATCCATAAAAAGAAGTTGCTGCTTTTATGCAGAAGGCATCCAAATACAATGGGGAAGGGTTGTGATTTTATGATTTATAATTATAAGGATTATATAATGCCCAAAACCTGGCAGCAATGATGGGATGAGCAGGCCTAAAAATGTATTCGTATGGAAGCATGAAGAAAGGAAGAAAGACAGCCTGCTTACATGCAATGAAAGGTAAAGATTGCATACATGACTGGTAGTTAATTTGTGCAAGTCACTGCCACAAATGAGACTAAGGGCAAGAACATAGGATGAGCAAACAAGGGAAAAAAAAAAGATTGTTAATTTATGCAGATCTTATGCAGATTTCCTGTGCAAGGGACACATGACCCTGTCATCATCAAGTCTGGGAAGTTAACCTATCAGGATTTTTACACGTGTATTTGAGTAAAAGAATCTGTACATGCCCTTTTGGGAAAGGTAATGAGTGTTTCTGCAGGACATTGCTCGTCTCCTCCAACAAAAGGAGTTGCAGGAAGAAAAAAAGCGCAAGAAGCACTACCCGGAATCCCAAGGACACCCAGGCTACGAAGACAGTTATTATTCAGAGAATGGAGGTAACTTTCTTCTTGATAAAGGGTTGAAATCATGGTAATACAGGTAAACTTGGCATCTCAGTCTGGGACACTTCCTGCAGTTCTGCGCTGAGCACTGTAATAGTGCATTAGTTTCCAATGGTCAGGATCAGACTTTGTGCTAGACCAGGAAGAGCTGGGAAGGGTGGGAGAGAGATAAGATCCTATAAGGGTCCTATAAGATGGCCTAAGGGATAGAAGTGGGGTGTGTATATGTGCCTGCACATGCATGCATACATGTTTGGAAGGGGCCTATGGAAAACAGTAGATGGTTATTATATAAGGCATGGTTATTACTGCATACTATGCATAATATACTGCATATTGCAAGTGTGCAAAGGAGAAATGCCATATGATTCCACGCTTGTGTTTGAAGAGAAATGGTTTTGGGTGCTCATCTGTGATGCTGGTACTGGCGAGAGCATAAAGGAATAAGTTCTGGTTCATGGAACAGCTTTCAGAAATAATCCCTTGCATGTATGTATCTAAGAACTAAAATCAGCACAATGGCTTTGAGTGACTTACTGAATAACAAGGCCATCTCCACAGGATATCTTCACTGTAATTATCATCTGGTACTGTATGTTGTGGAAAAGATATGACCCACAGGGCTGCGTTGCTTTCTTTTGGGAGGCTTTTATGATCTAATGCAGGCTTTTTTAAATTGGGAAGAGACAATTAGAGTGTGTTTAATTATGGAGCAATCTGGGGATTGCTTTGCTTTTTGCTGGTGGTGGTTCTTCTGTTCTTTCTTCAGAAAACATGTGGCGGGGAAGAAACAGGCTGGTTTTGATTAGCAGATTGTCAAGACAGAGACCAAACCTCTCACGTTAGCAGTCCTGCTATTGGTGATTTTAACTGTGCTTATTTGGCCAAGAACACCAACAGCACAAAGTGCAGAACAGTAACTAGCTGGGACTACATGGATATGAGTTCTGCTACGTGTGTAAAGCTGAGAAAGACATGAATCTGGGAGCCTTACAGCATCCCTCACCTGATTTTCAGAATTAAGTGGAACAAGTCCCTGGAAAAAGATATTAAAGCATAGGAAGTAGTCTTGCCATTCAGGACGGGAGAATAGGGTGGATATTTTATATATATTAAAAAAAAAAAAAAAAAGCCTGACAAAAGCCTATGACTTTCTGAACCTAAACTGTAGTGTGGATTTGGAGAGAAAGGTATCTTATGGGTCTAAGTTTTCTGCCTGCAATAGTTTGTGGTATAGAAGGTGAGGTAGAAAGCTCTCTACCTTTTTGTAGTTGTAGTAGTTTGATTCCCATTCCTTTAAAAACCAGAAAAAACTGAAGTGGATTTTGATAACCAGACTGTCTGGTACATTGATCTGGAACCTCTTAAGTACTTAAGCACCATTCAAGTAGACTCTAGTATGCTTAGTTTGGATCATCTTCATTATATGTGAATTTAGTGAATTTAAAAGCAGAGAGTCCTCCCCCCCCCCCCCTTTTTTTTTTTTTTTTTTTTTTTTTTGCTCCTGTCTTTACATTGATGCAAATTTACCCACATCAAGAAGGAATGTGGATTAGGGCTGTGGCTCCAGAGCAGTCCCAATTTTCCATTTTTTAAAAAGAAGGTAAACAGATGTGGAGGAAGGCAAAGTTCCTCCCAGAAGTATCTGTGCCATCAAAAATATTTCTATATTCACCCAGTCATGTGCTGCTGGAGAGAGTAACACCAGGACATAAGGAGTGTTTACACTGTCCCTGCGGAAGGTATCACAGGAACTGGCACCTGCCTGGAACCTTAATCACTCCGGGATTCCCCAAAAGCAGATTTCCTGCTCAGGCTGTCTGGCATGGTTATGTTACCTGCACTGGTCCTTTCCCAACACAGCCTTGCGTCCCAAGCCACGCTTTGCTTTCTCATTTCCTTCTCCATCACTGTATTTATTGAGCTTTTCTTAATGACAAAATTGAACTAATTCTCAAGGATGCTGGTTTATAGGCACTTGCTGGTACCATTCAGAAAATTAGTCTCTAATATTTGGTGTTTATTAAGTCATCCAGACTATCTTTTGCTAGTTGTAACAAATAAAGTCAGTCAGTTACTCCAGTGATCTAAAACTGAACAGAAAAACCCACCGCTTAACAGGAACTGCTGTGGTTATTCCTACAGTTCCTGACTTTTTTTTTAAAAAAAAATCCTATTCTGGATAAAAGTCAAACAGATTTGTTTTCAAGATGAATTTTAAATGGCCTGTATTTTTGTTGGCTCTGAGAGGAAAAAAATGTAAATAGCATAAATTGAAAGGATTTTTTTTTTCCCTGTTGTCTTTTTCCTCCTTTTTTCTAAAATCTGGATGACTGTAATATATAGCTCTGCTTTTCAAGACAGAATGCAATCCATGTGCAGTGAAATCTCCTATGAATATTTTTAGATGGAATTTACTCCACTTGTTTTTGTATAGTTCTGTTTCAAATCAGCCTCTGCTTCAGAGAAATTTGTTCTCAGAAATATGTCTTCACTCTGAAAAGCTGCTGTAGACATAATATTTCATTCTGTGCAGCGATTTTTCTTAGCAAATGCATCGACTAGAAAGCAAACGGATTAGCAGCTTGGATGGAGGCAGGCTGCTGCATTCTTACAGCTGTGTCACTTTTACTGAAACTAAAACCAAAGAAAATTTCTCCCGTTTTTGGAGAGTGCAGAGGAAACAACCCGACCAAGCTGCCTAGTTAACAACTATTTCACCAACATTGCTGATAACAACTATTTCACCAACATTGCTGAGGTCAGGAGCTCAGGTTTTGTCAAGTCTTATCCTGCCGTTAAGCTTCTGTCGACCTCTCTACAGTCAGAGTCTAACTTCTGTTTTTGCATGAGTGTGTGTGGGCCCTGACGCTCCTGGGTCTGATGGAGAGGTGACAGTTTGTGCTTGTCTGGTGCTGTCATCCATGGGACCACGCTGACCGCTCTCCTCCCATGTGCTGTTTCGTGGGTTGTCTTCTCCCACAGTCAGGAGAGACTGATATTTCTGAGGAAACATCTTGTGGCTAAGACCAGGGCAAGGCACCCGCTCTCATAAACCAGGATCCAGCCTGATCCTCTGCTTCGATCTTCCCAGCCTGAATTATTCTGCTTTGCACTCCCCTGCCAGCTCCCAGCCTCGCTTCCATTTCATGCTCTCTTTTGCAAATCTCCATGTAGCTTCCTGCAAGAAACACCATGTCTCCAGGAGATGGCTTGCTCTGCTGTCTGTTTTCCACCCCAAGTTCATCAGTAAAAGCCCTTAATCTCATTACCAGGCCTTGTCTTAGAGGTGCTGAGATGCACTTCGCCAATGTGTCTGTGCCTCCTGCTCCAGCCCCGTGGCCCGTCCCTTGCCTGGCTTGGCCTAGCAGTGCTGCTCTCTTGCTCTCTCCCCACTGCATTCTGCGAGCACTTGCTGCCTGCTTTCCCAATGCTGTTTCCTTCTGATCCCTCCATGCTGCTGCTCCTCACTTCTTCCTACATTTCCATTTTTTTTTCCTGCATCACATTCCCTCCTCTGCATGCTGTGGGTCATCGTTTCGTTACCATTAACCCATGTGTCACTAACCAGCTCCCTTGTTTGTCCCCCCTCCATTGCTTAGCACACCTGCAGGGTGACTCTAGAGAGCAGGTTTCTGAGCCTCGCAGACCCCACAGTGGCGAGAGGCGCCCGCGGAGGGAGCACCAGAAGGTGCCCTCGCCCTTGCCCGACAGCCCCTCTGGGCGCAGGCATCGCCCCTCGGAGGACCCTCGCCGCTCTCCTCAACCAAGCGAGGCCAGGAGCGGGCGCCACCGCGACACAGAGCAGCAGGAGTGGACATCGCTCAGCCGGGGAGGCTCCCGGAGACCTCCGAGCCTGGACCTGGAAAGAGGGGACGAACGTGCCAGCTCTGACCGCTGCGATAGCTGGGAGCCACGGGACAGGACGGCAGCCAGCAGAGAGAAGGCTTGGCGGCCTCTCAGTCTTAATCTGGAGGCAGAGCATGAACTCGCAAACCTGGTGAGACATGACAGAAAGCCATCAAGGCAGGACAGAGAAAAGCACCTTCCCCTTCTCGATATGGAGCTGGAAGCTGAACAAGAAACCTGGCGTCGTGGTGGCAGCCGGCTGTTTCACCCGGAAAAGCGTAAATCCCACCATCGTGGCCACACATCGCCCAGGACAGCTCATGATAGGACGCTCCATGACTCTGAGCCCAGAGAGGATCATAGGAGGGGTGAGGAGAGAGATTGCAAAAGAGAAGGACATAGGAGAAAACCTTCTCCCTCTCCCCACGCGGTGACCCGAGGAAGGGTTGCAGACTGCCAGCAAGACTCAGGTAACCAAGTAATGGGGACCATGAACGTGCGTGTGGGGAAGGTGCCTTGCTGACCCCATCCTGTTGTTTGAAACCTCTTCTTTTTTTTTTTTTTCCTTCGAGGACTCATATCTCAAATAACTATCTGTTGTCTATATGCAGTGAACCCTTCCTGGGTTTCTTCCTCTACTCAGCGTGATTCTCTATCCATTAAACTCTCACTCTGTTTATTTCATGATACATCCTGTGGCATCAAAGAGAACAAGTGAGAAGGCTTGTTAGAAATGTGGTCTTGGCATCCTATGGAAAACCATCATTTACTTTCATGATTTAATTAGTGCTGTGCTGTCCTTGCACAGGAACAAAAAATTATGTGTATTTTAGTTATACCCTTCTCTGATTTGATTTGATGGCTGTAATAAAGGACAGTTTGATTAAGCCCTAACAAGGTACTATTTTCTATTGGAAACCTAAGTAGTTCTTGTTGGGGAGTGTTCTGTGATTTGAATTAAATGCCTTAAATGGAGACTCCTGGAAGACTGAGTTCTTGTGTAGCTCTGGAACAGGTAGATTTTCCTAGAAAACATGTACTGCAGTGGATTTTGTTGTTTAATAATACTTGGGGCTTTAAAAATCTAGATGGAGCTGATAAAGACAATGGCAGGGGGCATGAGCTATCTACTAGAATGCGAAAGAACGGCTTTAGAGATTTACAGCTCTAACTCTGCCATGGGTGGGAAGCCTGTGTCAAGCCATCTGTCTGCCCTTCACTTGGAAAGATGGGGATAATTATGCAATTATGTGTGTCTGTCTCTGGAGATGCTGTGAGAATTTTTTTTTTGTGTATGTAATGCAGAAGTTCTGTCTTGCGATGTAGAAGGTGTTCATCAGATCTTTATAAAATCAAGAGGTCCTGATTTGCCCTGATAAAATGTGGGCCCTGAGTGGCTCGATATCCTCTCTCATGCATGTTGAGTTAAAATAGCCAAAGCAGTTAAACAGAAGCTCGCATCCCCTTCCTGCAGGCAATAATCATGGCAAGCTTTGTGCTTCCCTGAGCGTGGGCAGAGGTGATATGGAAATAATGTTTATCATTGTCTCCTGTCTAAGGCAAGACTGGCACCAGCTGAAGCGTAAAGGAAGCTCAGCCCTGGTTTCAGTGTTGCTCTCCAGCAAGCCGTTCCTGGAAATCCAGTTTGATCCTTCACACAGGCAGTGGAGAACAGAAGTGGGTCAGCAGCCTTGTATTTGATCCAGCATGGCAAAACTGCATTTACTGTGGCCTTGGGAAGAGCCTGAATGCTATAACTCTGTCCAAGCTGGTAGTTTTTGCCAGCTTCTGCATTGGCCTGAGATTGCAGCTCTTCACATCTTGGACTGATTAAATTGCTCTAGGAAAGGCCAGGCCATACACTTGGCTATAACATACCAGAAATCAAGTAGTTTATCTTCTTGTGCTAAGGCAATTTGTAAGAGGGGTATTAATTGCTTAAGATTATCAGTTTGTTGACTTCAGTTTAAATAAAAACAGTAAAACGCAGGCCTGCACGCCTGAAGGGGAAGTACCTCCCATTCCTACGTTTTTGGTCAAGGCTGACGCGTGTGGTCTCTGACCCTGTGTAGTCTGCAGGAACAGGGGGACACGTGGCAGAATATGGCAGTGGTTTGTTGATAGATGCACAGAAAGTTTAGAGGTTAGTTGGTTCCTTCTTTTCCTCCTTGGTCTTGCCTGATCAGAAAGAATCTGGTACATGGCCCAGTAACCTGTATTTATAATAAATGCACAAGCAGTTTAACTGGAGACATGAAAGTTTTGAGTGGAACTTATCTTCTGATTTTAGCATGGAAGAGTGACAGGCAGGCACTGAAGTATCTATATACTGCAGATAAAAAGCAGAAACCTCATTTAGATGTTGGAGATTACCAAACAGTACCGTTAGGACTGCAAATACCAAGAGAAGGCATTCATTGTGCGTGAATGAAGCCATGCATTTTATCAGAGTACAATAAGACTCTTTTGATGTCCTATTGCAAGTAGACTATGGAGAGGCTCTCAAACTGCAACATTTCTGTTCATTTGGAGATGGTTTAAATTTAAGCCAAGCTGAGAAATAAGGCTGTCTGCCAAAAGCAAGAACTGAACCTTATGTGAACCCTAAAAATGTTTATTGATCCGTTTTCTCACAACGAACTGCAGAAATCATGTGTCAGCCCCAAAGAAGAGCTGTCAGAAACTTTCAGAGAGTCTGTCAGGCAACTTTTGCAGTCCTTGCTGTTCCAGAGATACGTTTTACAAAACCTGCTGTGTTTGTAGCCTGTGTTAAGCCGTTCCCCAGTGCTGAATTTTGCCAGCGTACCTGTCGTAGCCCAGAGTGTGAAAAATCTACAGTTACAGTTCCTTTGCTGCTATCACCATGCAGGCAAAAGCCATGGCAACAAGGGTTATTTCTTCTACCTCGCAGTGACACTTGTTTTATAGGAAACAGTGTAACTACGTGCATAGGAAAAACCCATTCCAAGGCATATATTCCCCTTTGACTAGAGATCCTCTTTAACATAGCTGCCAGGCAGGGACTCTGCCGTGCTCTGTGGTCTCCTTGTGTGCTGTTTTGCAGAGGAGTTGGCGCTGAGGAGATGGTGGGGATTTCCTTTCAGAAGCACTTTGGAAATTGGTGAATTGATTGTTCCTTCTCCTAATTTTACAGGAGCTAAATCAAGGGGATCAAAGCAAGCTATTTATGACAAACCTCGAAGGGAACAGGAATTATCTGATGCAGAGATTGCTCGGAAACTGCAAGAGGAAGAGCTTTTGGTAAGCGGAGGTTACATTACCTTGCTTGGCAGAATTAACATTCCCAGCAGTGACAATTTCCTCTTGTAAACTTTTTACATATGACACTTAAAACCTCAGGCTACATTCTGGTACTCATCTTCCTCTCCTGTATATGCATGTGGAGTGAGAGGTGATTTCTGCATATATACCTCTTTCCTGCAGTTTTCTGAACACAAATCCATTCACACTTGAAAATTAAATGATCAGAGCAGGGTGACATTAAATGAACGTTTCCATGTGGATGAAGATGACACATGGTTGACGTGGTCAAATAGGCCAGCGTGACTCTGGTGTGACAGAGGGCATTGGAGTGGCCAACGTATTGTGGTGTGACTTGTCAGAAAGGGCAAAATTCAGCTGAAACTGGTTTAAAGCATATTGGGGGGTGACTGTTGAGCTGGTTTAGTGTATTTGGAGAGGATGGTAGCAAAGACATGTGAGCACCTTTCTGCCCAATAGGTTGATGGATTTAAGTTATTCAGAGGGGTAGCTATTTTTTGTGTGTTTTCTCTTTTGTTTGTTTGTTTTTCAGGCCAACCAGACGGATGAGAAGGCAGCTCAAGTAGCCCAAGATGAGGTGAGAACACAGATGTTCAAACTACGCCTTTATTTGTAGAAGCTGCTAAACCCCATTTGTTCCCAGTGATGCTCTAACTGTTCACTTCCCTCCTTGCTGGGGAAGCTCAGGGCTCTGCTGCTGGTTTGCACACTCAGCCTGGCCAAGCAGGGGATTTCGCTGCCTGTTGCAGCCACAGCAGATCAGGCTGGTTCATGGATCAACATCAGCTCTTGTAACCACATCTCATGTAAGGGCTATGACATACGCTGTAAGGTGAACCCTACCCTGGAAGAAAAGAAACAGGTTGAAGTGCTCTGCAAATGCAAACCAGGGAAATCAGGGGTCCACTGAGCATGTAGTATGTAATAAAGCTCATTTCTGCTGTGTCACTTGATCTCCAAGCACAGGCTAAGTTGAAAGGCTGACTTCTATGGCTTTGCAGCCTTAGCTTTCAGCAGCCATCTGTTATGGGTGTCCCAGGACCTTCCATGTTATACAAGATACCGGTGCAAAATGCTTTAGGCCTCTACTGGTGCTGCTGCATTAAAATGTGTTTGGAAAGTGTTTAAACAGCTGAAACTCGCAAGAGCAACAAAATCTTCTGATATGTGCTCTTTATTTTTTTTTTTCCAGGAAATAGCCCGTCTCTTGATGGCCGAGGAGAAGAAAGCTTTCAAGAAAGGGAAGGAACGAGAAAAATCATCTCTTGAAAAGAAGAGGCATGATCAAGACTGGAAGGTATGTTGAATTTCAGGAGGCCTTACAAATGAAGCAATAATCAAAGTGTTAAAGAAGGTGTTGTGTTAATCTCAGAGGCAAATGGAGCCTTATGCTCTGCTAAACCATGTGTACAAAAGCATATTTTATGCATTTGACCCCATCTTAGAGATGGATTCCTCAATTCAGCCTCATATTTAGAGCAAAGCTTCAGTTTCAGTAAGCAAGGCTGAGTTAAGGTAGTGGAAACTGGAGCAGATCTTGCCATTTGCATATACCTGGTTGCAGTTAGTTGTGTGAGTGAACTGAGCATAGAAGAACTGTGCAGAGCTGTGGAAACCTCAACGCAGTGGTTAGTGTCTCGCAAGGCATGAGGACAGCCTGTTGTGAGCCACTTTCCCCTCTTCTCCCTGTCAGCACGATGGAAGTGAGTCAACGCGCTCAAAGTCAAAAGAAGGGCTTGAACCTCAGCGGCACAAAGGCGACAGGTCTTCACGGTGAGCTGATCACGGCCAGTAACACAGGCAATGCATGCAAGAGGCAGCTCAGAGCCCTGGGGAGTGGTGGCTGGGAGACCATCCGGATCCGCGAGGGGCTTGGTGGAGAGCAGAGGTTTGAGCACTGAAGATATGTGGAGGGAGAAGAGCCCGTGGCGTGTTGGAAAGCGTGCGTCATTCGCTGCGCTTGTGGCACCTGGCCATCTCATCCCCCCTGCCCAGCACTGACAGAGATTGATGAGCTGGTGCGATGACATTTGTTAAATGGCAGAGAAGCATTGACAGGGTTAAAAGAGCTTCTGGGTATGTGAAACCAAATGTCATCTCTGGTCAGGAAGAAGGAATCGTGATGCGTCTTCATGGTTGTTGCCTTGTGTTCCCATTCCTCAGCTAAGCCCTATGTGTTACTCCTTATGTGAGACCCTTCTGCAAACAAATGCATTGTGCTTGTGGGATATCTCCCTCCAGAGCTGACAGGAAAGGGGTGTAGTATAGCATTTCTTCTGGGACAGAGCAGGCAGTTGAAGTATTGCTTTGGACATGATGTTTTGCCTTTGGTGTGTGGGACTTTTTTTTTGTTTCTGTACTTGTTTCCCCATCCCAACGTTTTTTTTTCCTGTGCTTGGCAGGTCACAGCCTCTGCTTGATGACTTTGAACACTCTCGTTATTACACAAGTCAGCCTAGCCCCTCACGCCAGTTTCCCAGACATGAGCACTCTCCTAAAGGTAGGGTTGAGCTCACAGTTGCCTCAGCGCTTGGGTTAAATTGTGTTGTATTCCTCAAATAACCAGCCTGAAGGATAGGACTTTTGGATGAGTGGTGCTACTATGGAGGAGGAATGAATATATTGCCCCAAGAGACGTGTGGTGCTCCTCAGTGTTGTACTTGCTGAGCATGTTGCTGCCTGAGAGAGGAAAAACACTGAAGTAGTTAGCCATGTCAAACTGCTCTGTTTGCTTTATGATCTCTTGATAATGAATGACTGTAAATCCAGGCAGCAAATGAAAGAGAAGTAACATGAAAACAATGACATGGCAGTTTTCAGGTGAGTCACTGTATGAAGCGATTCAGTACAAGACAGAAGACCCTCACAGTGTCACGTGTCTGGCTGCTGGGTGACCAAGCAGAAGCTTGTCCTGAGATGAGGCTTGTTTTGTTCCTGTAACATCGCAGCACTGTTTCCTTGGCTTGTGTCCCAAAAACATTTGGCACCAGAGCAGTGTGGGTGGGGGATTTTCATTTGTCGTCTTTTAGGGGGTTTTGTTGTTTTTGTCTGATTTTGGAAGTCTAGAAGGTAGCTGTTTGTTATCTCTAGAGTCTGTGGGCGGAACAAAGGTGCAACCAAAATTTGACTTGTTGTATTTCATCCAGCTCCACTGATTATAACTTATGTGGAGTTTATTTTATAGAATTTGAAGTTTGAGCCTTTTTTTGTTCTGTCTTCATCAAAGAAGCTGGAAAGTTGATGGCAGTTTGTGTAGTTTATAAGCTCAGTGTTCCTTCCATGTTCTTTAGTGAGACACTGGAAAGCAGTTGTCATCCCATTCACATTCACTGGAAGAAATGCAAGTGTCTGCCAGCCTCAGTGAGATATTCTTCCATTTACTGTTTGAATAATGTTATGTACACTTACCACTTTAACATTTGGCTTCAAGCAACATGCACCTATAAAATCACATGCACATCTAAGAGGGCAGGACAAGCAAGATTTCTGCAGGCAGTATTTTCTTCACCAGGATCTTATTAATTTATTTATTTTTCCTTTCTCTTTTGCTTTCCAGGTTCCCGTAGGAAGCAGTAGACTGCTGGCCTTTGCTTTGGTACTGACTCTTCTGTAGCAACCTTTACTGGAATTGCCAGGCAACTTTCTCGATTCCTTGCCCAACAGGAGGTCCACCCTCCACCCTCAGGATCTCCTCTTTAACTGTCATCGTATTAATCAGGAACATTTGTTCATTTCAGTTTCTTAGTCATATGTGATCACTTAAGCAGTGCAGTACAATCTAGCCGCTACTGAGCTGCGTGAATCAACTAGCTGATTTAAAAGATTTTTTTTTTTTTTAAACTTTGATTTGAGCTTGGACAAATAGAGATGCATGTACAGGAAAATTCAAGATACGAGTTGGGTTACGGCAATGCAGCAGAACATTTGAAGTACAAGTCCTTACTATATTAGGATGACTTAGTGCAGAGTCGTAAGAGAGAACAGGTGTTTTTCTATGTGCTGGGTAAGAAAGCTGAGCCAATCCAATAGAGACATATTAGTTTGCAGGAAGGAGAGAGCATCTTTACAACATACACCAGAAAAGGCTAGAACTTGGAACTGATGAGGAGGGATTTGCTTGTAGAACAAATTTTTGTAACTGCTGTGTTTCCAGCAAGCACTCCTAAATTCTCCATGGGTAGAATATGCAGCCAGACATTCAGTGCAAGGTTAAAGGATAGGAAAGTTAAGAGTAAAGACTATTTAAATGTAAAATAACCTAATGTGTGTGACTTCTAAAGGGCTCCAGTGAGTTGACAAAGCTATGAGTAGTAGATTAGGAAGAATCACACACACTGATTTTAATGTCTGAAAAGGCTTCTGTGGTCACCTGCTTTGGGCTTCAGCATAATGCAAATAATTCATTCAGGCCAAGCAGGGACTTCTGTTACTCCTTGCTCAGTTGCTGATGCACTGAGCCTAAACCTGAATATGTCTTGAAAAGAGAGGCCTGAAGGAGAATTACGTGGGCATTGGACATTGAATCCAAAACCCACGGAGACACTGAGTCCAAACCAGTCAAGAAAATCTCGGTTCTACCTGCCCTTCCCTCCACATTGCTCCATGGAGTATTCCAGGCAAACTCCAGTATGGATTAAATGATTGCTCTCTGGGGCATGATTGTACCTGACAGGTTAAGTTATCTGTACAAATTTGCCCATGCTATGATATATTTTTTTTCCTTCCACTCACTGAAAATCATTCTGCTCTTAAACAGTCAGATAATTTTGCCCTTGGCCTCCTCTCATTCTAAATCTTTTGGCTATTAAATCTTCGATCGTTTTAACCTGCAAAGCTGAGCATAGGGATAGTGGTTTGGAGTCTGTTAGCCAGTTCCAGCTAGTTACTGGCTTTAGCAGCCTGGTTCACAGCAGCAGAGCCTGCTTGTGGTGCCCCTGCATCCCAGCTTCCCGATGGCCTGGCACCAAGTCCGTCCCGCTGTGCTTTTCATTCCTTGCTAGCCGTTGCAGCCTGCTCCAAATTTAGTGATTGGGGGCAGAGTCACGACTGTACTTGTGCCCTCACCAACCTGCTTCTCTGCCTGGGAAAGAGGAGCCTGACGGCTGTGCAGAACTTCCTAAAGGGGAAATGTTGGCCTGGGGCACTGATAGGAAATTAGAAGAGATGGAGGTTCTCTCCTCTTGCACCAATTCACAAGTCAAGCCCCAAGGCAGCTATATGGCTTTAGCTTTAGCTGTTCATCAGAAAGTTACTGTGAAACAACCGCTGGAAGACAAGGCAACTTGTTTTTCACATAAGTTGCAAGGCCATATCTAATACCACAGCAAGAGCCTGTGCTTCGCCTTAACACAAGTGAAAACCTCCACCTCCTGCCCCACCTGGGATGTTGCTACTGGTTCCCAAGCTACAAATACCCGCTAATCCCTTGACAGAGCTTCGTTCCAGGCATGCTCTAACCAAAAAATGTAGCAACACAGGACCTTGTGCATCAGCAGCATCCCTTTACTTGCATATTCTTGCTTCCAGACCATGAGCCTGCCCACCTGCATCGACCCTTAAGTGACTTGCAAGCTCTCTCTTGCTTGCTTGCTGCTGCTTCTCAGGAAATATCCCAGCCCGCGGCTAGATTTTACTGTCCCTGCATTGTGCCCTCTTCTCTTTCCATCTCTGTCCATTCAGAAGTGTTAACGTTGTTTCAAAGGAGCAGGGGGAAAAAAAAAAAGTAGGCCGTATATTTTTTATTTGATAACTTGGGCCAATGTGGCACTCTCATTTGCAATGATTTTGTTTTATAAATGTTTATTTTCATATTTCATGTAACAGTCAAAATTTTTACTGCTGAAAATGCTGGGAATTTTTTGGTGAGTTTCTTCCTCTCTTGTGTTCCATCAGGCTGTATTTACTGTTGTGAAATGGATCTCCAGTGGGGATTTACATGCTGATACTTCTACAAATAACCCGGCCCAGGCCCTACTGCTTGTCGCTTGGTAGACTTGTAAAAACTGGATGGGAAAATTCTTGCCAAATCAGACTGTGGCTGTGTGTGGTAAAATAGGGATTCTATGTGCAAGGCAAGAAGTAGCAACAGGGAGTTCAGCCCTTCCAGGGTTTCTGTAGCTGACTCTGGTGGATTTTCTTGCACTGCAGTTGGCTGCTGTAGCTTCTGTCTTATCTTGATCAGGGAAGTCATTAAGTCCCTGAGCCTGCTGACATCTGAAGAACCTCTTAATTCAGGGAAGATGCTCAGGAGTGTCCAAGTTGTTGACTTCAGCAGAAGCAGGTAGGGACTAGATGATGAGAGTGAGTGTTCTGGTTGATCTGCTTGGAACCTGGGAAAGTCCGAAGGCCGTCCCAAAGTCTAGACTGTGATGTTGCAGGGTCTCCTTATGAGCCTCTTCTGGCTTGCCAAGCTATCTGCCCATGGCACCGAGAAGAGGGAGCTCAAGGGAAGGACCCAGGAGCATCTGCCGCTTCTGCAGGTGCCTTCAGGGAGGGCTGGTTGCTTTAGGTTCATCTCTTATGTTCCTCCCCTTATTCTTAATTTTATTTTTACTCACTGCCTTAGTTACAAGGGACAGCAAATAACAATCTTTCTCCCCATTTAAGTTTTTTATAGCTTTTCTGAAGAAGGAGGTCCTGAGGTTATGTTGGAAAGGAATGGATACTTACACCTAAAGAGAGAAACTTCAAATCAGTAACTGGGGAAAGCATATAGTAAATAACTATATATATAATGAACTATTTCTGTAATAGGCCTTGTGGGCCTCATACAGTCAACAGGCTAGAGACTTCCCAAACTTCCCAAGACAAACATTGCAGCTGGGCTTGCACATTTAGCAGCTACTTTTGGATCCTCCTGCAGCCTCAGTGAAGTCAGCAAGAGTTGAGTTAAGATTGTGGATCAACAAGGACCCAGTTGGCCTTGGGGCTCGGCAGCCACAGTTTTGCTGAAGTCAGGGAGATGCAGCAGCTCAGGCCAGATGCAAAATCAGCACTTTGCATGTGTGTCCCTGGAAGGGGGCGCCTTAAAGTCATTGCTTTAAAAAGATCCAACCAGAGCAATATTTCCTTTCCAAAATGTTTTAATAACCTTATGCTTTTTGTTGTCTTTTGCCAGGTCTCAGTAGCTTTGCCTATGGTTTTGTTCTAGATTTAAAGTACGCCCAGGCTATTCTGACTTTATATGCATTTCTTACCGTGCGTGTTAATAAGGCAACAGTAGTCCCATGAAAAGCTTGTCACCGTGAAACCTTGTCCCTTCCTTACCTCCATAGCAGGCACACCTCACCAGCAAGAGCTCCTCCACCTCCTCACCTCTGTCCGAAGCACAATGACCTGCAGAGGAGAGGGCAGCGAGCCGAGAGATCGTGCCTTACGTGCGGGGACACCCCGTGTCTCCAGGATAGCCTGATCTGAGTCACCTTGCTATGAAACACTGTCTTAAAATGTGGACTGTGCAGCTTCCTGCAGCAAGAAGCAGTAGTCATGGTGGGGATAGATCCAGCAGGTTCATCTCGTGGGTTTTGGAGGATTTTACCGTTTTGAATTTAATAGGGGGTAGGGAAAATATGAGTTGTTAGGGGTTAGATTAAGTCTTGCCATTGGATTTCTCCCACAGGGAGGAGGGATAAAAGTTACAAATGCTGCAGTCTGCTTCACTCTGTAAAAGGGATCTTGTATGTACAGTATTTTTATATCTCTGCATTTTCACCTGCCAGGATTGGAATCAGAATTAGTAACATCTCTCAGTTAGGATTTCTTTTTTTTTTTTTTTACAGTGATAGATCTTTGTAAGTTTTAATTTTGTGCCAAATTGCAGCCACTGTTACATTTTCTTAGTTTATTATGAACTCCGTTTATTGCTCTTGATCAATGTGTATATTATATATATATTTTTATTATCAAGGTTTTTATTTTAATTCGTATTAACCTGTATGCAAACTAACTGTGGATTGCTAATTTATATATGAAGGGGAGCGCTTCAGAGCCCGGGTGAGCATCCCCTGCTTAGTTTACACCCTGGTGACGCCGCTGGGCTGCAGAGCACCGCGCTTCCCGCAGGGAATATTCCCGGAGGGCTCTGCCGGGCGCAGCGCGTCCCTGCGGCCGTCCTCGCAGCGCTGGTGCTGCGAGGGGCTCTGCAGGAAGGCCGTGCACAGCTCCTGGGCACGGGGCGAGGATGTCGGCGCCGCGGGAGCTGTAGTTTGGGGTGACTTTGAGGTTTGCTCTGCCCAATCTCCTCCCCCAGGAGCCGGACGAGTCCCTCGGGATGCTGGTGGCTTGTTGGCAGCGGCTCTGGGAGACGCGTGGGGGATAGTGCTGGGGCACTGCAGTGCCCTCGCACCCACTGTGCCACTGGGCGGGTTCTCGCCGTGCAGGCGCCGCACGGGCTGCTGTGCCCAGGGCAGGCTGCAGCGGGCAGGGATTTGTCAGGAAATCCCCCTGCCCTCAGCCTCCGTGTTGGGAATTCCATCAGCTGCCTCCTCCTTGGGTAGCACAAGGCTTCGGCCGTGCAGCTTGGACTCGTCCCCGGAGAGGACGCTGGTGCACACACAAATGAGTATTTCCTGCTGCACGGTAAACAAGTTTCACTGTATCAGTGTTCGCTCTATGTAGACTCCACAGTGTGTCTCCAGCTGCCTCTGTGCACTGCAATATAGTTAACTTCCTCAGAGAAATAACTGCCGTTGTCTAATTTAGCTCTTTAGGGTAAACTTTCAGCCTGTTGAATCTAAATGTTAGCCATAGGATATGATGGATTAGTCAAATGGTTTAAATTCCTCGGAGTTGCAAGTTTACCCTGTGTTTCAACA